CCCCCTTTTCAGGGCGCTCCTGGAAAAAAGGTACAGAACTTGCCCTATATTTTAATAGACAAAGTTTGTCCTGTCAATTGTGTTAAAAAATACTTTGTCTGAATCTTTTCTCCTGTTTGTGTCTCAAAGATTCTGTTTCAATAATATGTATCCATATCCCCATCTGTTGTTATTTTCCCTCTCATTTGGGCAAATGCTGAGAACCATGATTGCAGAGTTGAAAAGAAATTCTTTTACACCATGACCAAACTATTTTCAGTTGTGCCGAGCTTCATTCTCAACACATGAAGCAGTCACAATATCTAAACTGCCAATTTGAGATTAATGCAACATGTTTGCCCATGTGAGAGGGACTGTTACTGTTGACCATACCTGGGTCCGATGGCCTACTCCTGGAACTGGTCTTCTGTTTCTTCCCTCTATTTTCATATCTTCATTTGTAACAACCTCAATGTGCCTCAATCTACTACCTAAGTTCTCCTATCAGGTACCATGTCTCACTTATTTTCTCTCCCTCCCTTTCTTGTTGCATCTCTCTGGCTTCTCTTGTCGTTCTCCCCCATTCCTCGTTGCACTTGTGCGTGTCTGACACATGACATAGGGATTTGATGGCAAAAAGGGAGACAGGGTAATTCACAGATAGTTCCTCCCGAGTGGTGTGTGCTGCATAGATAGAACGCCATCTCAGCACCTCTAGTGATAATGGTTGATTAATTGTCCCCTAGTTGTCTTATGAATCAGAAAAAGTGGTTTCTTCTCTCTCACACAAGTACACGTTCAAAGAAACGTACCCAAAACACACTAAGAACACACATTAACACAATTTCTTCACATACATCCACACTTGAACACACACACACACACATTCACACACACAAACACGTTAACACACACATAGAAACACACACACATTCAAACTGTCTACTTGTTGAATGTACACTGTACTTAAACCTGAACCTAGGCCTCTGCTTTATGTGCAACTGATAGCATCCATTCTATATCTGATGCCCCCAAGAAACTATTCTTTCTGACATAAGGCCAGTAGCTGCTGTAATGTAGTATGCTGCTGTTTTGTATGCTTTTCATTCGTAATAATTCGTCACGTTTAGAATTGTACATTTTTCGAGTCAGGAATATACCAGAATGATTTTATGTGGTCAGTGATATTGATTTAGATATTGATTTATGATGTACGGTCAGACTCAGTTCTTGTATGGCTGTAGTTTGTATTTTCCCAAACAGTCCTAACCATCTCCAGTTACTGTACTACTATATAACAATTCAGATTTGCTTGTTCTAGAGACTAGTCATAAAATAGTCCTAAAAGCATGATGAACTCATTATCAGGTGCTGTACCATATTCTTGAAAGATTGCAGAGTTGACATCCTCCCTTGAGGATTCAGTGTAGACTAACTTGGTAGGTGATTCTGTACTCACCCCTGTCCTCTCTCTTAATGATAGGGTGATGCAGGAGAGGGGACTGCTGGTCGTACAGTAATGGTACATATTAACTTCTTCTTTTAGGTTGACATAGTTTCTCCTAAGCTCACAAACAAGGAAGGTTTAATAATAATACTGGTACATTGTAGTAGTAATATAAATTGTGGGCAATTCATTTGTCGTTTGGTAGATTGAAATAATTTCTAGAGGAAATACTGTTAATATAGAACAAGTCTTTGACATAAGATTGTATGTTAACATATCATGCTTCTTCTGATTTGGACTGTGTTTTATACACTTTTGAGCACTCAGTGTAGCGATTGTTGCATAGTGTCACAATTTGAGATGTTACTAATTCTTTTGTTGTATTTGTTACCTTCAGATGCCAGGTCCAAGAGGCCCTCCAGGACCAATGGTAAGCTTTAAGAGCACAGTGTTATTTTTTTTCCTTTGAGTTTGACAATATGACTTTGATGATGACCATAAATAAGTGAGGAAACAGTTAAATTAATATAGATGTGACTTTCTACTAAACTTTGTAATGAACTTGTGTGCTGTCAACGTAACTGATATAGCTAAAAATAGTTAAGAATAGTTTAATGCCAGGAAATAATATTGGTACCTTGTTTGAAAAATAGCATACACATGTATTAACATTACTTGTTCCTTGTGTCATTTGCAGGGAGCTCAGGGATTAAGGGGAGAGCCAGGACCTAAGGTAGGGTATTTGAAACTTACAAAGTTAGATTTATTAATAATGTTACCTACTTCAGCTGTCTTCAGTATTGTTGCAGTATTATCAATGTGCTCTATCTTACGTCGATGAAGGTTAGACATCCAGGTACATTTTGTAATACGACACGCCAAAAAGCAGTTACTCAAGCAACTGGATATGATTTTGAAAACGTCAGACGTTTCAGCTAGTATCCACTAGCTTGTGCTTATAAACCTGTTTTCCCCTCTGGTCTCTCAGTCACTGACGAAAGCTAGTGGATACTAGCTGAAACGTCTGACGTTTTCAAAATCATATCCAGTTGCTTGAGTAACTGCTTTTTGGCGTGCTCTATCTTACTTCAAAGACTTGGATGATGTTCTAGTCTACCACCAAGTCTACCACCCAAGTTTCTTTGGTACTTGCTTGTATCTTTCCTTAGATGCATTGTGATTCTACAAGGATTATACTTTAAGTAAGTGAAAGAAGAATCCATACAAGGGTTACCAGAATGTTGTGTTAGTCTTAATTATACTTATTGGCCGTTTAACAGCCTTCTTTGTTGACTACTTTCAGGGAGAAGTGGGAGACACAGGGAAAACTGGACCAATGGTAGGCTTTATGCATTCTTCAAAAGGGGAAACATCTCCAGTGAGGGAGGAAATGCATACATGTATGTTAGGGCAGGGAGGCTTTAGAACCTCCCTGGTTAGGGGAAAAATATATATATGTTGTAATACGAATGATTGTAACAAACCTAGCACTGCCCGTAGCACCCTGAGACACTACTACATTGTAGATTGACTGGTGTAGCCCATAGTATCTCGGCTTTAACACCACTCTGCCATGGCTTGGTGATTAATGCTGTTTAATGACACTGGTGCCGCTGCAATATTTTCCCTATAGAGGTATGATGTAGTGGTGACACTGCTAGTGTAGTGAGTAGTTGCCGTTGACTTCC